CTCATCTGATGCATTAATGTAATAGCTGCTGTGTTTTATTGAGAAGTTAACTATTACCTTGTAGTCCTGTATTATTAAGGCCATACTTCACATCTCTTTTAGATCATTATAAAATCTCAAATTAAAAACATGATATTCATAAAAATGACAATGGTAAATCAGAAAATGTGTGACAGACACTGGTGATCTGAAAACTAAACAGAAGAGGTTTATCAGTAATGATCATGGTGATCATACTTTACTTCATGAAAAAATATTAATACACAAGTCATTTTTATACGACCGCAAAAATTGAAAATTTTTTGGTCGTATATTGGTATGACGTTGGCGTCGTCGTCGTCGTCTGGCGTCGTCCGGCGTCGTCCGAAGACACATTGGTTTTCGCACTATAACTTTAGTTTAAGTGAATGGATCTCTATGAAATTTTACCATAAGGTTCAATACCACAAAAGGAAGGTTGGGATTGATTTTGGGGGTTATGGTACCAACAGTTAAGGAATTAGGGGCCAAAAAGGGGCCAAAAATAAGCATTTTTGTAACTTCCAGACATAACTTGTGTGTTAGTGTATGGATCTCTCTGAAATTGTACCACAAGGTTCCATATCACACAGGGAATGCTGGGATTAATTTTGGGGGTAATTGCCTCAAAAAATTAGGAATTAGGGGCCAAAAAAGGGGCAAAAAACAAGCATTTTTTTAGTTTCATGACAATAACTTGTGTGTAAGTGTATGGATCTTTCTGAAATTGTACTACAAGGTTCCATATCACAAAGGGAAAGCTGGAATTGAGTTTGGGGGTAATTGCCCAAAACGTTTAGGAATAAGGGGCCAAAAAGGGGCCAAAAATAACATTTTTCTAGTTTCCAGACAATAACTTGTGTTCAAGTGTATGGATCTCTCTGAAATTGTACCACAAGGTTCCATATCACACAGGGAATGCTGGGATTAATTTTGGGGGTAATTGCCCAAAACGTTTAGGAATAAGGGGCCAAAAAGGGGCCAAAAATAAGCATTTTTCTAGTTTCCAGACAATAACTTGTGTTCAAGTGTATGGATCTCTTTGAAATTGTACTGCAAGGTACCATACCACAAAGGGAAAGCTGGGATTGAGTTTGGGGGTGATGAATCATAAGGGGGTTCAAAAAATTGGGGGGGGGATTTTTTTTTTTTTCCTTTTTTTTTTCTTTTAAAATTTTCCATGTTAAGTTGGTTATTTCTGTTTTATATTTAAAAGCAAATAATAAATAATATGGTAGGAGATACACACCAAACAGGATGTGTAAATTATTATAAAATAAGTATTGTGCAATAGCAAGAAATTTTCAATTGCACAGTATTGCACCATAGCAAGAAATCTTCAATTGCACAGTATTGCGCAATAGCAAGAAATCTTCAATTGCACAGTATTGTGCAATAGCAAGAAATATCCAATAGCACAATATTGCGCAATAGCAAGAAATTGTCAATTGTACAGTATTGCGCAATAGCAAGAAATATTCAATTGCACAGTATTGTACAAAAGAAGATACTTCGTATAAATTGCTTATTTCTTGACCAATTTCAATGGGGTTTTATTCTTGAATTCTTGGGGTTCTTTAATATGCTGATTCTAACCGTGTATTAAGTTTTTGGATTTTGGGCCCCGTTTTTAAATTGGTCCACATTGAGGTCCAAAGGGTCCAAAATTAAACTTTGTTTGATTTCATCAAAAATTGAATTATTGGGGTTCTTTGATATGCCGAATCTAACCGTGTATTTAGATTCTTAATTTTTGGTTCTGTTTTCAAATTGGTCTACATTAAGGTCCAAAGGGTCCAAAATTAAACTTAGTTTGATTTTAACAAAAATTGAATTCTTAGGATTCTTTGATATGCTGAATCTAAACATGTATTTAGATTTTTGATTATGGGCCCAGTTTTCAAGTTGGTCCAAATCGGGGTCCAAAATTAAACTTTGTTTGATTTCAACAAAAATTGAATATATGGGGTTCTTTGATATGCTGAATCTAACCATGTATTTAGATTTTTGATTTTTGGGCCCCATTATCAACTTAGTCCACATTGAGGTCAAAAGGGTCCCAAATTAAACTTTGTTTGATTTCATCAAAAATTGAATTCTTGGGGTTCTTTGATATGCTGAATCTAACCATGTATTTAGATTTTGGATATTGGACCATAATAGTTGAATGTCCGATTTAAAATTTTTAAGTTGTTAGACCACATTCATTCTGTGTCAGAAACCTATGCTGTGTCAAATATTTAATCACAATCCAAATTCAGAGCTGTATCAAGCTTGAATGTTGTGTCCATACTTGCCCCAACTGTTCAGGGTTCGACCTCTGCGGTCGTATCAAGCTGCGCCCTGCGGAGCATTTTATTCTTAATTTTTATGCCCCACCTAGGGGCATTATGTTTTTCGGTCTGTGCGTCCATTCATCCGTCCATCTGTCTGTCCCGCTTCAGGTTAAAGTTTTTGGTCAAGGTAGTTTTTGGTGAAGTTAAAGTCCAATCGAGTTGAAACCTAGTACACATGTTCCCTATGATATGATCTTTCTAATTTTAATGCCAAATTAGAGTTTTTACCCCAATTTCAGGGTTCACTGAACATAGAAAATGATAGTGCGAGTGGGGCATCAGTGTACTATGGACACATTCTTGTTCTTTAAGTGTACATTGGTTTTGAAATGGGAAAATTTCTTTTACACATTCTAAAGGGTTGACAATAAATTAATCTATGCATGATCCAAGTCAGTGCAGGATGAATACACTATTTTAATTCTTTAAAGTTTCAAAAAAAAAAAAGATGAAAAACTTCATTTCACTTTTATAATACACCTTTTCCTAATCATTGAGCTTTTCGATCTGATTACTGTAAATTCAGAAATTATTGCGTGCATATTGCGATTTTTGAAAAATGGACAAAAATGTGAGATTAATGATTTTGCAATTTCAGGGAAATTTGCCTACAGATATATGTATCAGATATCAGAATGCCAGTTCTTATTATTGCGATATTCACCCAGTCACATTATTCCCATTAATAAAAACCTCGCAATAATTTCTGCATTTACAGTACTGTAATATAAAATAAGGAAATGTGATATGATTGCCAATGAGACAGCTATCCACCAGAGACCAAGTGACATACATGTTAGTAACTGTAGTTTGCTGTATTAGGTCTTCAACAATGAGAAACTACTTTTTAATTCCTGATTTTATATCATGAAATCAAGGAAACAAGCCCATGAAATTAATATAAATATATCTTTTGGTATTTTCAAATCTAAGCTTAAATTTGGTTACTGTGGGGTGGTACAGCTGGTGGATTGACAAGCAAATGGTTGGGCGGCTCTATTTGTTTCTATCTGTTATCTTATGAGCTGTTCCACTGATACTTTTCAAATTTTAATTAGTATGTTGTTAGTACTTGTTACTGATGAAAAAATGGTGGTCAAATTCGATGTTGACTATTTTCTTCTTTTTGTGGTTAAGGAGTTATGTAACATGATTGGAAAATGGCACTTTATGTTCTTTCTATGCAATAACATGAGAACTGGTTAACCAATGCTTTAAGAATGTTAATATGTTGTTACTGATGACAAAATTGATATAAAGTTGGATATTGACGATTTTCAGTTTGCCATTCAGGAGTTATGGTCCTTGAATGATTGGAGAATAGCAATTTAAGTCATTTATGTGTAATAATTTGAGAACCTTTGAACTAATGCTTTTAAAATTTTAATATGTTGTTACTGATGAAAAAATCGAGGTCAAGTTTGGTATTAAAAATTTCACTTTTGATTTTTGCCATTCAAGAGTTATGGTCCTTAATTTCATTAACAATGACACTAATAATATGTCATAAAAATTTGGCTTGCTGTCATTTTGACAGCCTCTTGTTTCTATTAAATTTGTTGTTGTATTTACACATTTACATTGACTACTTTATCATTACTGTAATAGATTTGATGGTATCTCCTGAAGAACTTGTGTTGTAGCATTATAGCCTAACATATGTTTTAGCATATCAAAGTCATTTGCAGACAGAGATAGGAACAATTAAAAACAAGGAAATGTCTGCATTGATGTAGACAAATGATTCAGTCCTGTAGTTTTCATCACACCATAAAACATATAAAATGTAACTGACAAACAATATTATAAAAACAAAAATGATTTGATTCTTGATTATTTGTGCAAACAAAATAAGACAAATTTTCACTTTTAGAGTTATTGCTGGTAAAAAGATAATGTTTAAAAAGAAAAATGGTGTGTGACTAATTCTGAAAAGTAGCATTGTTATTCTTGATCATATACTGAAATAAAAAAGAAATGCACAAAAAGTTTCTATACATTATATACTGTGTAAAGGGCTACAACCCTAGATAGACTGACTAAGGAAAGACTGACTAAGGAAAGCTATAATATTTCATATCTGTTAGTCAAGTGGTCAAAGGCCTTTGACACGGTGTAGGGGTGTTACAGTTACCTGACTAATGAAAGCTATGTATAATTCACATTTTGTTCTTGGCCTTGTGGTTTAAGTCCCTTTACACAGTGTATATATAGAATGTGTTGTGGTTTATATATCATAAGCTTCAGTTTGTTCCAGCTGAAGAAATAAAGGGGGGAGGGGGGTCAATTTGCAAGTGCAAAAAACCATTATCATAATACATTGTTTGGATGAATTCAAGCAGGATTTGTGTAACATTTACTGTAAATTCAGAAATTATTGCGTGCATTTATTATTGGGATTTTTGAAAAATTAACAAAAATGCGAGGTTAACTATTGCGAATTTTGGAAAATCTACAGACAGATATATGTATTTGATATCAGAATGTGAGTTTTTATTATTGCAATACTCAGGTAGTCGTGTTATTCACATTAATAAAAACCTCGCAATAATTTCTGAATTTACAGTATAATTAAAAGAACAAAAAATTACCATTTCAGTCAATCAAAGTAAGTAATATTATTAATACATTATTTGATCTTTGCAGGGAGATCAAGACAATGGTTTTCATTTGAAGAAGCAAAGAAAAGACTGTCACATAAACCAATACAAGTGACTTATTTACAACTTCTGGACAAACCAGAAAGGATCACATGACGTGGTATGAAGGTCTAGCTTATTACCATATCAGATCATAATTTGAAGTATTCATGTAATGATGTGCCAATTAATGAACAGATGAAATCTTCATAGGTTTAGAGGATAAAAGGAAGCCAATCAAAAGATCAAAGCACTTTTTAAATGACTGCCAAATTTAGGACAACTTTTAGGTTGTAATTTGTTATTTAATTAAATATTGTAGTGGGAACAAAGGGGATTTTCATAAATATTCAGCATTACTTGTACTTATAGAAAACTGCTATATTTTTAACTGTGAATAGTATGCAGAAAGGCTGTAATCAGTTTTCTATCATTTTGTAAAACATCTGTAAATGTGTTTTATGAGTTGTGTACATCTATATATCTACTCATATTTGAGCAAGCTTTGTGATTGATATGGCCAAATTACTAAGTACTTCCAATGAAGGCCATTTTGCCCTCATGAATTAGACAAGATGGCTCAATGTATTTCATCATTTAATTAGTTTTATACCTCTATTCTCAGATTCCAAAAAAAGAAATAACAGAAAGAGCAAAAAGATAAATGACTTGGTAAACATTTTCAAAAACCTTATTTTAAAATGAGGAACTTTTGGCTTGTAGGCTCATTTTCAGATTTCATGACCCCACCTTTAGATGCAATGGCATATTTGGTACCCATGTCCATCATACCATCCTTCTTAAACAACCAATTGTCGACTTTTTTCATTATGCCAGCAGATATTGTCTGATATTTTGGTGCAATTTTGAACAATGATGACATACTGATAGAGTTTGCATTTAGTTTCAGTTGTTGCAGAATTACTGTCCTTACAAATTTCATGAAAACTTTACTTGTCCTAATTTTTGTCCCCCAGCTGCAATGTGGTGCGGGGGACATAGAAATAAAGGAGCCTGTATGTTTAGTCTTGTATATGCTCTCACATGTACAGTTCTTTCCAGATTTTTATAAAATTTGTATCATCAATGTCTGGGACAACTTTTAAAATCAGTTATGACCTTTGGAAATATAAATTCTATGGAAAATCACTCCAAAGACTTCATTTCTCATAAGATTTTTATGAAATTGATATCAAAAAAAGATTTGTCTCAACAATATCTCAGAAGAATTTCCTATGCATTATTAGGTCTAGTCATCCAACCACCAACATTTTGGGTAACAAATACCGGCATGATCATATTTATTGGTAATGTTTTTTCCCCCAATGAATAGATACAAACTTAAATGTTTTCTGTTAAAAGTTTTCTTCTTTATTGTCAATCTTATCCATTTTAAACATTTAACATTATTGTGTTGCTGTTTGTATTCTATGTTAGAATAAAACTTTTACTACATTTATGTAAAAAAAAACCGGTACAAATAAAACATCTTATTAGCAATTGCATTTTTTATAGATATATTATTATCTGAGAAGTAGCTCTTTCTTTCTTCAGGAAAACAATAATATATTGTCAGAGTAAAATGTCTTTTTTTGTGCTTTTGCGGAATTTATTTTAATTTTTTTTACACCTATAGCCCTATTCCGAATTTTTAAATCTTGGTTGCTTATATGTTTTTTCTATGCTAAAGAACCAACTGTGTAATTTGTAGGCAGGCTATGTGAAAAGCTTTTTCCTGAAACATTAAACTTACATTGAATCATGAAAATTCCTTAAGTTTAAGAGCACTTGTTTGAAACTGCCATAAATTGTTTACCATGGTGGGAAAATTTAGGATTACTTGAATAACAGATACAGGGTATATTTTAATTTTGACCTTATTTATAGACAATTGCATTTTTTTTTTGTATATTTGATTAATTTCAGGGAATGGAATAACAGAACATATATTATTGTAATGTTATTATAAAAGAGCAAAGGGTTTCTGTAATGCAAGTGATTTTCTTGTTGTAATTACTTTATTTACTTTGTTGTAATTACTTTGATTACTTTGTTGTCATTATTTTGATTACTTTGTTGTATATTTTGATATGTGCCAAAATTATTATCATTATTTGTTGTAATAAGGTTGACAGTACTAATTAAGATTAAGTTCAGTAAAAAAGTGCTGGGGATTGTAAATAAATTGTGGAAAAATGTCAATATGACTTTATTAAGCTTTATATATTGTCTTTCTGTACTGCATTTCACAGAAGCTAAGATAATCCACGACTTTTGTTGTTATTTATTTGTTACTTGAAACAGTCAAGTGCATGAATATAAAAATTGAACTGTAAATGAAATGTCAACTTTACCTTTTATATATGAAAAAAAAAATAGTGCCATGTTTTCACCTACGATAAAGACAAAACAATGAGACAATGCATGCTTAGACTAAGCACAATAAAGAATTGCATGATTGTTATTAATCACACATGTACATACCACACACATAAGTATTACCTTTGTCCTGAATATCCATGAAATTATTGCCGCTAGACGTTAAGCAAGCAACAATCAATCATTCAACCATGTGAAATGATACATAGTGAGAAGATTCTTTTTTCATCTTAAAAATGGCATATATAAAATAAAGATGCTAATATTTGTTACTTGATCATAGATATATAATAGAAAAACAAAGGATATGGGTATCCATCAGTACATGCACAGCAAAAAACAAACAAAAAGCAAAGGAACAGCGCTTTTATTGCTATTCTTCATCTAAAAGTCACAGTGAGGCCTTCAACACGGAGCAAAAAAACTCTCACCTCACGGCAAGTTTAAGACGGCCCCTAGCTTGGCTTGAACGGAATTCTTTGCAAAAATATTTTGAATAAACTTTGTATTAAATATGTAACACCACCTACAGAAGATCTGTTAAATGAGAAATTTACCTTTAATTAGGTATTTCATTTGCAGTTTCAGTGTGCTGTAAAATTTAAGAAAAAATAACAAATAATTGGGAATTTCACAATACTTGTTTTTATATTCAGAGAAAGGATATTTAATAACTTTAAGATACATTGTCTTTTTATCTTTGTTGAATGTGATGTGTGGTTATGAATTAAGAAATTATTGAATACCAACTATTATTACCCTTATTAGAATATCGGCCATTGGCAACATAGGTTGGCTGCCTATTTATTTTTATCATACTTCAGATCGGCAACATTCTACATTTTGACAACTGTGTGGCTAGAATAACTATAATAAAGACAGGTTTTTGCCAGATCGTAGCCCAATGATTTGCCTTTAACAGCAACAATTTACCTAGGAAAATTGTCTTTTGGTGACATTAACAAAAGCTGCAATATTACAGTTATATTTACAGAATGATGTTTCTTGGGAAAGAGTATAGTTTTATAAGACATAATAGTTCTTATTGGTAAATTAAATCCCAGTGTGCTTTATAGTGTTTGCATTCCACTTTGTAATTTAATTAAGTCAATTTTTTTTTGTAATTGTCACCTAATGATATTACCAATAAAATTTAATTTTTGTACTTGAATTTTTCTTTGATCTGTAGATTTAAAGATATTGTATAGTTGTGTTGTCACCATTGTTGATTTCCACTGAGCATCTTCAATATATGAACACATGATATAAAATGACAGCAATGGTTACACAGGAAAGTTCAAAATCAAAAATCCAGAGAGCTTAAACATGTTTGACCACAGGAAACGTTCTTAAATTATAGGTAAATTTATGATGTCATTTATAAGTCAGTGTGGGTAGCCTATATTCCTGATGTCATTTACAAGTCAGTGTGGGTAGCCTATATTCCTGTGTCATTGAGAGTTTTGATAGGGATACATTTTGAAATCAGACAAGCATAAACATATTGCAGGTTTGTTTTCTATTGATGTATCTAAGCCAGTCTTGTTCAAAATGAGTTTTTTTTTTCTATTTCCAGACTTACAAATTACAATGCAAAATAGTCTGAAAATATTCCTGAATTGATATGACTTGAATCAAAAGTATTGCAGGTCCCAATTATTATGTGAGTATCGCAATAATAAGAACTCGCATTCTGATAACTGAAATATAGATCTGTAAGCACTTTTTTTCGAAATCGTAATAATAAAACTTGCATTTTTGTCCATTATTGAAAAATCGCAATAATAAATACAATAATTTCTGAATTTACAGTAGTAAATCAATGTTTATGAAAATGTGCCAAGGATAGACGAACACTGGAAGACATGTACACCTTTCAATCATTTCATTCACCCTGCAATAAGAATATGTGCGACTCGCAAGAATTTCACACACCAAATACATTTGACATATATAGATTATGGTATCTGAGCTACTTATCTCACCACAAAAACTTAACATTGACTAATGAACCATGAAAGTGAGGTAAAGGTCATTTAAACCCCGCCAGACAGACATGCACACCTTTTTATCATTCCTTTTACCAAATATAGTTGACCTATTACTTATAGTATCTGAGATATGGACAAGACCAAGAAAACTTAATCTTAATCACTCATTCATGAAATGAGTATACCAAATATTGTTGTCCTAGTGAGAAAATCATATGTTTGAACCATGAAAATGAGGTCAAGAACAACGGACATATGCCAGACAGAACCTTCTCAGCATAAGGCTTTTGTATACAAGATATGAAGTATCGGAGTCTTCTACCTTCTGAAATATAAAATACACAAAAATAGTTTATGTGGTCTCGCCAAAGGAATAATAAATAAAAGAACAGATATTTTATCGATCCAAGGGCAATAACTAAAAAAGTACTTTTTTTGTTCTTTAAATCAATTTATAAATATCTTAGAGAAATGAAGGCTTCAGAGCAAATACAATGTGATTTCCGTTATAATTAATTTTCACAAGGGGCATAACTTGTTAAAAATATTTGATCAGCACTTATTTTCGAAAGTGTCAAAGACATTGCTGATATAAACCTATGATATAAGTTTCATAAATTTCTGGCAAGAATTGCACATGAAAGCGCTAACAATGCAATTTTCTATATAATCAATATTTCCAAGGAACATAACTCTTTTAAAAATAATTGATCGGCATCAATTTTCAAATTTGTCTGCGACATTGATGATATAAACCTATAATATAAATTTCATAAAAATCTGGCAAGAATTGTACACATGAGAGTGCTAACAATGCAATTTTCCATATAATCAATATTTCCAAGGGGCATAACTCTTTTAAAAATAATTGATCAGCACTGATTTTCGAAGCATCAAAAACATTGATGATATAAACCTATAATATAAATTTCATAAAAATCTGGGAAGAATTTTACACATAAGAGCACTCCTAAGGCAATTTTCCATATAATTAATACTTCCACGGGGCATAACTCTTTTAAAATAATTGATATGCATTGATTTATCAAAGACATTGCTGATATAAACCTATGATATAGGTTTCATAAAATTCTGGCAAGAATTGTACACATGAGAGCGCTAACTATGCAATTTTCCATATAATCAAAATTTCCAAGATACATAACTCTTTTAAAAATAATTGATTGGCACTGATTTTCGAACTCGTCCAAGACATTGCCGATATAAACCTATGATATGCGTTTCATAAAAATTTGGCAAGAATTGTACACATAAGAGCGCTCATAAGGCAATTTTCCATAAAATCAATATTTCCAAGGGGCATAACTCTTATAAAAATAATCGATCGACACTGATTTTCGAACTCATCAAAGACATTGCTGATATGAATCTATGATGTAAGTTTCATTTTTCTGGCAAGAATTTTACAGATGAGAGCGCTAACTATGTAATTTTCCATATTATCATTATTTCCAAGATACATAACTCTTTTAAGAATAATTGATCATCACTGATTTTCGAACTTGTCCAAGACATTGCTGATATAAACCTATGATATAAGTTTCATAAAAATCTGGCAATAACAGTACACCTGAGAGTGCTAACAAGATGGACGGATGGACACAACACGCTTCATGGGGGACAATTATTTGAAAAAACCTGTAGTTTTTATAAGCAGTTGCTGAACAATAAAAACAGACAAATGTCAGATGGAAACCTCAGAAAATTTTTTGAAGAAAATACAAAGATTGCTAGGCTTTTATTCCTGCACAAATCATTAAGTCTTCCCTGCCATAGAAAGCATGTCCTGCCTTGAGCATTTGTTTTTATAGAGAAAAGAATGTCCAAATTCTTAACACATAACAGACATAAGCATGAATAACAAATTTAAAATGATTTGAAGGCATACACATCTTTAGATGCAGACCCTTATTTTATAACAACTTCTGTAGAATGGTAAATCTACACAAGTTATAATGAATTCTAGTATAACTAATAAAATGCTTTTAAATTATTTGAAGTATATAAATTAATTACCTTTCTAAAAATTGGCTTAAAAGAAATACCAAATTAAATGAAATTAAGAGAATAGTGAAAGTTAATACCATAAATTTTCTCAGACCACAGATTATGTACTTTTCAAATGATGAAACAGACACTTGCCAAAACTAATAAATATAGAACCTCATAGCAGTGCATGTAAATAAAACATTTTTTTTAAATTTGATTATTTGATGTTAATTTATTCGAAATTGCTATTTGAAATTTTTTTTTGAGATGTATCGTGTAATTTCTGTCTCGATTTACAACCATACAGAAATTATTGCAAGGTTTTTATAATTGCCAATAATGCGACTGGATGAGACTTGCAATAATAAGAACTCGCACTTTGATATCTGATCAATATATGTGTAAGCAGATTTTCCTGAAATCGCAATAATTAATCTAAAATTTATTTTTGTCCTTTCTTGAAAATTCACAATAATAAATGCACGCAATAATTTCTGAATTTACAGTATTAGCACCCTAATTGATGAGATGACAGGCATGTGTTATACCAGTGTTTGTCTCTGAATTTACAGTATTAGAACCCTAATTGATGAGATGACAGGCATGTTTTATACCAGTGTAATTACTTCGGAGCAACGCCATCCTTTTAAATAGTACAAACATACAGCATACTTCATAATACTGCAAAATGTGTTTGTTATTTTAAAGGACATATAAATAGATAAGAAGTTAAAGAAATGCTTTCAACAGATATTTTAAGTGTAGAACGAACCATTATTTGCAGAAATTGTAAAATAGAATATATCATATTATATAACTCTGTCTCATCATCATATCCATTTTCCACACAAATGATATATATAATTGATGAAATAATAATTAATGAATACCAAAATAAAAAAGAATAATTTATTGCACCAGTATGTTCACAATGAAATATACATACATCTGTCTCATAACCCTGATATATATACAATCAACTTATTCTGAAAATAAACAAATATCTCTGATAAATAGCATAATATTTTACAGATTCATCATGGTTATAAAACCGCAATACTTAAATATTTCACAAAGAAATTAAGAATATCAATATGAAGCAGTTGACTATACATTATTTTTGAGGTTTGACAAAAATACTCTCACATTTTTGGTAAATTCATGTCATCAAATGGTCATCAGAGTCTTGCTTATAATTTAAAGTGCATATTTTGTTGAATATAATTTTAAAGGCTTACATATTGAGTTGATGTATCCTTATATCAGTAAAACATCATTACTTTATAAATTAGGCAGTGATATTACAATAAAATCATAATTAATTTACACAGTTTTTACCTTAAAATCAATATCCATTAAATACAATATAAGTCACATTTCAATCTGACTGAGAAATACAGGCAACGGTAGTCATGAAAATTAACAGAAAAAAAGGTAATACATATAGTGTGTTGGACATTGGTTCCTTAAAGCTTGAAAAGAGTTACCTTAAATCTGATTTTTCAAATGGAATCCAAAGAAATACAACTTTAAACACTTAGTAAGTAAGTTACTACTGTTTTGCATCAAAATCATGAAGAGAATTTAAGAAATTACCACATTACTGTATGGATATTGGGATATCATTTTGAAGAATATCCGTAATTCTAATTATTATGGATGAATGCTAATGCCACAGAATACAAAAAACATTAATAAATGAACAATACAAATCTTCCGCTGAAGCATAAATAAGAGTTGTAGTCTTGAATACCTGCTAGAAAATATGGAATGTTAGGGCAACAGCATACTAAATATAAAAGATCTAGCAACAGAAATTCCTTATATCAAATCACCCAATCAAAAAATTTAACTCTTCAACAATATTGAGATTCAGTCATTGAAGTAAGAGTAGGAGTTTGAGCCATGTATTCTGTTTGTAACTGATATGAAGGAATGTCAAACCAACAATATACAAAATATCACATGTTCAACATACATACTTTTTCACAAACACACCATTTAGCATGACTGAGGAGTTGGGGCCTAATATAGTGCAGGATATTGAGATGCATGGATAATAATACAACTGGGTACCAACTATGAATGATGTAATGTGAGGATTTGTTCAGAATTTTTCCTTATCATAAAAATTAGATGTTGATGAATAAAATGCAGGAATGCAAACACCCATATTTTTCTAAACAACATTTGTCGCAAGTCAGAGAAAAAAATATTGTTAAAATTGAAATAATTTAATTACTCCATTTTTACTCTTTTTGGTCCTCTTTTCAAAAACATAAAAATGTTATTAGCCTTTAAATATATTTATCTTCTTTTCCTCAATAATGTTTTCTTTATAGTTGTATTTTTGCTTCAAAGTTTCAAACATTGTGTCTAGACATGATACATTTGTTTTTATAATTCAGAATTTTACATCTAACATATGTTTTGTTTTAGTTGTTAAAATCCTGGTAAAGTATACTTTTTAAAAGATAAGTACCTACCAATAATTGATATAATCTAGCATAAATACAATTAGGTGGTTTCATACTAATGTTTATTGGAAGAATAGATGTTAGGTTGACTCATCAATGTATAATTATAAACATTTATTTTTACATTATATAATAATATGAGCATTTTAAGTAATTTCTTTCTCCATAGGAGGTCTATCTATATTGTTTCTTTTAATTCCTTCTTTAATCCATTCTATCCCTTCATGAACACCATCTCTGGCAAAAATAAAACATAATACAACTACTTAAAGAGGTCAGTATTTATAAAATATGGTCCTTATAAGAAGGTATTATATACATCACACAATAGCACAATATTTCTGACAATGTCAACAGTTCACATTTCATCATTTTAGATGTTATTATGAAACAACACATTACTTTTTCCTCAGTAATAATTAAGATAATAATGACTAAATAAAGTCAGGGATATTGTTAAAGTGCCTACTTTTAGTTAGAAACATTTTTTGTAATATGTCTAACCTATGTCATGAACCTTGTTTATGTGCTTGTCCTAGGTAATGAACCTTGTTTATGTGCTTGTCCTAGGTAATGAACCTTGTTTATGTGCTTGTCCTAGGTCATGAACCTTGTTTATGTGCTTGTCCTAGGTAATGAACCTTTTTTTTTGGCTTGTCCTACGTAATGAACCTTGTTTATGTGGTTGTCCTAGGTAATGAACCTTGTCAGTGGTTGTTATTGTCTATAACCATTTTTAGCATATTTAGTTGTTCATTGCTTATTTTAGTTCTATTGAATTACTTTATGCTTAAGATTCTGGGCAATCTACAGCTCAGTATATGGTGCTATTGCTTGTGTATTTTTGAAGACCCTTTTATGACCTGTATATTTTAATATATGGTTGTTGGGTTATTGTCTCATTCACATTGATTCTACTTTATATTGATTTTGTTCATAGATTTTTTTAAATCATGTATTCTTGCACCAATATAATAAGGTTTTTTCTACAGTTTAAGAAAGGATATGTTTAAATTATTATCTGCCATACTCTCTTGAGGACATTTTGATTTATTATACTTCATGTCAAAATGCCAGATTTTGATTGGTTAATACGAGGGAGACAATTTACTCTATCCTATGGTAAATACTCTATTACCCTACACAGAGACGCTTGATCAAGTGTGCGCTTTATTAAATACGGATGATTGTTATGTACAAGATGTCATAATTTATTACTTTGAATTTGAAATTTAATCGACAGTAATAACAGAACATTCAGTATAATAAATTAAATAACACATATCTGAGAGAGTGATAGAGCAGATTGTTACCCCTCGAAAAGACATTGTCAACCTTGGCTTCAACTCAGTTGACAATGTTTTCTCGGGGTAACAATCTGCTCTATCACCCTCTCAGCCAATGTGTATTAATTAAACAAATGAATATGTAAGTTACCCTTTGAGTGCAGATGTACCAAGAAATTTACATTCTCTGTCTCCAATGAGTTGTGCACTACTGTTGAACACCTTTTTCACTTCTGAAGCTTTCATACAACCCTTAAAATAAAGGAAAATTTCTTTGAACATAAAATTATGATATACAAAACATGTAAATTTTATGCCATAATAGGTCCAAGTACATCATTGTTAGATGAAAGGAAGGACAGATAGACATTGGTATATCATTATACATTCCTTTATTGATGGGGTTAAAATCAAGATAATGCAAGGGTTATTCTCAACAGAAATCTTATATTAGCATTGGGCAATGTAGAAATATATAACATTTATATAATGAAGTTCATTAATTTCTTGCTTAGGAAATATGGGAATCCTAATGAATTGTAATCATTTAATATAACACAGAAAAAAAAATTCAGTTATAATACGAACTCAAACAAAGGATAATATTCCTACATTGGAGGGTTAGCTCTAAAAAATCTCAAGTATACAACAGATAATGTTTTATCATTCTTACATTAGCTGAACATATTTAGTTTTTTATTTACTTATATATACCAACCTCTAGATCTTGTTTATTGGCAAGAATAAGTAATGGTACACCTTTTAACATATCATTTACTATCATTTTATCTGTAATATACATACATTTATCATATACTTGTATAAAATATTACTAAAATTTTACAGTTCAATAACATTTAAAAATATTAAAAGGCTATGAAAGGATTACTAGGTTTATTGATCAGATTCCTAAGAATTTCCTCAGCGGGCTGATAAAGGAACCTTTATTGACTGCTTCCGGAATTTTATCACATGCCTTTCCGTTAATTTCCGTGACGTTTATCACATGCAACTTCGTGCATTTCCGGAAATTTGTTCGAAACGACAACACAGTGCGGAAAACCGCAAGTGATTTAAGACTTTTCACAAAATGGTTGAGGCGCAAATTTCAAACTAAGAACATGATAATTGTTGTGACAAGATAAATAAAATGCTTGTAATATCAATAAAAACAATTAAAGTTAAGAAATTTGTATTTGGTTGTCTGTAATTTATTATTTAAAAATTCTTGGAATGACAAAATTTTAATTAATAGTTCTTGTCTGTATTTCTTCTGTTGAAGTATATGATAAAAAGATAATTACATGTCATTTATCATATCAGACCCTTTATCGGCCCTCGTTCATGATATCAGCCCTCGAGCCTGCGGCTCTTGGGCTGATATCATGACCTAGGGCCGATAAAGGGTCTGATATGAAAAATGCCATGTAATAATCTATACTTAATGACTAAATAATACCACAGTCTAAGAAAGATGCAATATGGTTATATTTTCAAAACATTCTAGGACCATTCAAATTGCATTTTAGTACCGATGCAGCAACACTACAAGGTATTTTTAGATTGGCTTTATTTTTTAAAAGGTTTCCAATCCCTGTATTCGGCTCAACTCAGTTTCGATGCCTTTTTGTTAGACATAAGGATATATATCAATGGAAGCTCAACTTTCAATTATAACTTTCCAGTGACTAATGATCATTGTTAAAGTTATAGAAATATTTCAATGTAATTATGTACTGTGGATTCATTATTTGTTGGATACCATTTTTTTGTGGATTCTGTGGGTACAGGTAAACCATGAAATTAAATGTTCAATGATCTACAGGCTTGTATGCAGACTTTTGTAAAACCATGAAATTAAATGTTCAATGATCTACAGGCTTGTATGCAGACTTTTGCAAAACCAAGAATTCCAGTATCCATGAAAGTACAATTTTTCTTTAATTCATGAAAATGAGTACCCACAAAATAAATGATTCCACAGTACATGATTTATCTTTACATGTTAAGGTTAGCAATTTTACATTTATAGCAAGTTCCCTCTTGTTCAACAGAGGTCAATGTGTCATCTTACAAGCTAACAACAACCTATTATAAAGGCTCTGTGATTACAGCAGATTCAAATATGACACTCTTTTTTATTTTGTAAATGTGTGTGATGGCACAATTAAATTAGCAATGTCAGTTGTATTTTGAGAAAAGACTTGATCAAAACATTCCTTTATGTGAGTGTTTTTTGCTAGGAAATTCAATAAAATCTTTTAAAAAGTAATTCCTTATGAATTTTGACACACTCTTTTGAGAACACACTTAATATAAAAAAATTCAATTCAAGACATCAAATTGTGAAATACAAGTTGTCTACATACACACTTTACACACTTTTTGGAGAACACACTTAATAAAATAAAATTCAATTCAAGACATCAAATTGTGAAATACAAGTTGTCTACATATTTTATAGAGCACACAATATGGGTGTCACATGTGGAGCAGGATCAACTAACCCTTCTGGAGCACCTCAGATCACTCCGTTTTTTTGGTGGGGTTCCTCTTGCTAGATCTTTAGTTCCCTATGATGTATTTTGTATTCTGTTGTCTGTATTTTGGTCTTTTTTTGTTTTGTTTTTTTTTTTGAATGTCATTGTCAGATTTTCATCGACATATCCCTTTATCTTCCGTCTCTCTTTCACAAAATACATCAATAATTAAAAACAACTTTCATCGCAGACGAGATAAACAACTACTGATATATCGTAGGTTCCTGAGAAATTAACAGTAACATGTAAATCTAACAAACATGAAATGAATGGATAGAATTATAGAGTTATGTTTAATATACCAAAAGCTTCTTTTGATTCATCTATTCTGTCTGTGTCTGAAGAATCTATGATGTATATTACTGCATGAGATTCTGCATAATACTGAAAAAAAATATGGTGAACAAATTTTGTAATTAGACCTTCAATACCTTTCTTTTACGAATTGTTATACTATTCAGGAATTTTTACTTACGATTCTTAGTAGGCTAACAATTAAAAATTTTCAGAATTCCAGGACAAATCTGAAGAAACAGTCCAGCTCATTTCATTCCTGTTATCATTCGCATGAATTTAATGTATAATGGGTTGAAACTCAAAATCTATAGTTAATTTCTACAGAAAATATTAAACAGAATCATATTACGAGCTTTGAGTAGAAATTTCATTATAAGGTAAGATTTGTTTGAAAATAACAATTTAAATTAGTTTATTTGATAAAATCCATCATAACAGTAACTTTTGTTTTAGGATTATCAAATACACTTTATGTAACTGAAATACTTCTTAAAAAGTTTCTATTCATTACATTTGTACAAATAATTGAAAATTGATTAATTAATTTGTGAATGATAAAAGTCTATTTCCAGTATTATATCCATATTCAGGACAATTTCCAGTATTATATCCATATTCAGGACAATGTCAATGTCCTGAATATGGACACAATACTGGAAATAGACTTTTATCATTCACAAATTAATTAATCAATTTTAATTATTTGTACAAATGTAATGAATAGAAACTTTTTAAGAAGTATCGTCACAAGTACATGATAATGAGACATAAACCCTGATTTGTACTAGATTGGCATGTGGAGTCAATATTTAACATAGTACCTCACAAGGTAACAGTCAGGTGAGTCAGCTGGTAGACATGTCACGCTAACTATATACATTATAATGACTCTTAATCCTTCAACGTTTGTAATGACTCAGCATTAAATTACACACGACTTCCTACACTACAGGTAAGCATGCTCACAGGAGACCTATAACATATTGAAAGGAGGCCCTAATACTAAGACAGGATTTATGAATCTGTGTTTCAAATTATCGGCTAAATAAAAATTTCAAAGTAAACACACTGATTTTATACTGAAGATGTAGTCAATTAAAAATGTTCAAAGAACTGAATTACTATTAGAAATATAAAATTACTTTATCCCATAATGACTGTAACTCTTCTTGTCCACCAAGATCCCAGAAATTAAGCCGTACTCTTCCAATGTCTATCTTTCCAACTGAAAAAAGTTTACATTCATATACAGACAATATAACATCATTTTTACTTAAAAAACAATTTTTTCCTTTGTGTGTATCATGAACAAAACTATAATAACTAGTAAGTTTTTCTAACAAAGAGTCAGCACATAAAAATTCCTTCCTTTCTAACTAAAATTTTTTTTTAAGTATGAATTTTTTTTTCATTTAAAGAAACTAGATTTATATGAGCTCAATGGTTTCTAAGAACTTTTTTACATCTCACTAATAAATAATTTTACCTGAAAATTCTTATAGTCAAACTACATTGATATACTCAATGATTGAAGTGCACCTGTATACTTCTAACTCTACTCAACATAATGGTGTGATCATTTCAATATAAGCAAAAGATGTTTTTCATTTGCTTCTTTTACTGGTAATCAGAGTAAGAAAGAAATTACTTCATTAATATAAGACTGGCTTTGCCCCAAAGATCAAGATCATCTATTTATTGTTGGTTGTTCCACTAAGTCTGGAAAGTCTTTTAGTAAAAAAAATTCTGTATTTACAACAAAAAGTAGAAAAAAAGTTCCATTCATTACATCTGTATTCTATTGATTTTTAGGGAAAATATGACATCAGCACAAATGTAGCATATTATAACATCAAATGTGAAAGCTGTTGTTTCAAACTATCTAAAGTTTTTTTTTAAGTTTTAGATATAATCTACCTAAACTAACAGTTATATAAATTTATATATTTTTATGTTCCTTACTGTTCAGTCCAACTGTTGCCGTTATTTTTGACAAATTCATTCCTTGATACTTGGAGTTGAACTTTGTTTTGGACTGTTCTAAGTATGTCTGAAAAAATATAACACACCAAGAGGAAAAATAACTGAAACAAGGAGGTTACATATACACAGCACAACATCTTGACCAGGAGATGTGAACAAATCAAAAATGACACTCAACAAACACTATTGTTGCTTTTAACAATAATTTTCTTCACATACATTATATTAACAGGCTGGACTAGTTAATTTCACATACATTATATTAACAGGCTGGACTAGTTAATTTGCACCTGTCTTTTTTATGCCAGATAAAGTGTAATTTATATCCTCTTTTGCCCCTAATAGCTTGGAAACTGTTGCAATAATCCTGAAATCTCCCAATGAATAAAACAGAGGGAAAATTCCAATTTTGTCTAATTGTCTATGTTTACAGTAACAACAGGCATGTTGATAGATCAGCTATGCTTTTTATCCTATATATATCTTTCCTTGTATATTACATTATATTTGCTGTTTAAGCAGTTTAAAATTACCTGTTGTTTCAAGTCTACTTTATGGTACAGAAAAGGCTAACTTATTTCATATACTCACTGATTTTCCTGCATTATCTAAACCAAGAATTAAGACATTGTACTCCTCTTTCTGGAAAAAATATTTCCAATAACCTGACAGCAATGTATACATCTACAAAAGACACACACACATATATCATGTATATATAACAGAACAATTCATATCTACCATCAAAATCATTAATAAATTTCTAAAACAAATTATGATTTTTTAACTTTCATAATCAGTTATGATGATTTTTCAACTGACAACAAAAATGATTTACAGAACACTATACATGTACCAAGTTTACTTTTAGTATATTGTAGATTTTAATCCCATCAAAACATGATTTCGCCAACTATTAAATAATAATATTTGTAAATACATGTTGGTACTATGTATCTGTTATTTATGGATAAGTGTTGAAGGCCTATTCCAACATGGGGTTATATGCTTAATCATCTGACCAAAAAAATCATAAACAAAACTAGTGTGCATATCAAAAACATATATATACTAATAATGCTTCAAATACTGTGTGTACTAGTTCAATTTAAATTAAGTTTTATTAGATATAATTTGAAAACAATGCAATAATTGCTGAACTTGGAAATAGAGAGGTACACAAATGTTACATGTTTAACATGAAGCTTTGATCTTAACTATCTGAACTTCAAAATTCTATTTGCTGTATATTTTACATAACACTGTGGTCCTCTGTAATTAAAAATAAATAAGATTATGTTGATATTTAATACATCTGTAGTACATGTATACACACCTAATTTGATTTATTTTCTATTGATATGTTGTGTCAATGAAATTCCAGTCTGGTTTTTCAGCACTAAGAAATTCAGACTAATTGTACTGGTCAAAAATAACTTTTCACCATGATTTTCTGATCTAAAATAAATACAATGTAAATAAAACATGGATAGATGAGATGTCATGAAGCAAATTCTGGATACTGATCGAAGACTTGTCAAATTTATGGCAAATAAAGTACAATGACAAAACTTTCTACTCTGTGAGAACTACTCTTTAAAAGTAATCTATCTACAATATGTATTGATTACAGGGGTTAAACAATAGTATGGCGAGAGAGGAGTGAGTTGGAAATATTAACTGATGGTGTTTGAACAAGAAACGGGTGAAGCTGTTTCCACTGTGGTATTGTGTATGAATATGTATGAGTGTCTTTAGAAGTCCTTGATTGTACATGTATATATATATAAGTGCTTGCATGGGTTATCCTGGTTCTTGGGTTCAATAGTATGATGATGTCTGATGGAAAGACAAGAAGTTGGTAAGTGATTTTCATACACATTGCCAATCTTGTGCATAGTTTAAGTTACATTGTATGCTAGTGATGATTATTTTAGTGTGTTTAGCAAAGTAGGTACACTAGCTGGTAAGCTCCAGAAGGGACTAGGCCCTGAAAAACGTCCAACAACATGGGTGCTATAAAATTTCTTTCTGGTTTTCCACTATTTTTGGGAGCATACCAAGGATCTGGAAATTTTTCATGAGATTGTAATATTTATTTTAGGACTTGAAATGATTAAAGTGTTTTTATAACACTGATAATTGTTTTAGTCATGTAATTTGGCATGGAATTATTGAATTATGTTACATTTAAATAGTTAAATCTGACCGTTTCTAGACCCTTGGAGTTTATGATTTCACACAAATTTGTTTATCTGTTTGTAGTAAAGTATGATGATAAGTAAAACAAAAATATATAAAATTTGTGTGTTAAAAACCAATAAACCTTTGGGGCTCATCAGGTAGAATTGTTTGGTTGGAGACATACTGAGCAGCTCACTACTGGAGCCTCTAAATCTTGGATGCATATCTGGCTGTACAAGGATCCCAACAGAACAAGGATATTCATGTTTGGGTTCGACAGGTGCTTGGTATAACTGGGCTTTTATATTGATACACATGAAATCAGTAAGAACAAACGTGAGTGAAATTTGAACCTCCATTTTCAGGTTGGAACATCAATAACCCGAAAAACTTCTGAAAAGTGGTTAAAACATTGAAAAGTGATTGATATTATCCGAAAACTCTAAATTATATTGTGCAATACTGCTTACATGATGTCCATTATTAATATGAGGACGAAGTCCTTATTTAAAGTAGACAATTCCATAAAAACAAAAATCAATATACAAATGAACCCAAAATCGTTCAATTTTCCTTTCAATAGACAATATCCCGCATTCGAGCAAGAAATCTTTTCTGGTATTGTTTTTCTCATAAAATATAAGGAAATGGGCATCATATGATTTCCCGCAAATTTGTTGTACCAGAAACTGATTACCAAAAGAATATTGTCAGTTAAACATTGAAAATAAATGTGGTATCATTTTAAAATGATTCTAGTACTTATTCAACATACAATTTTATAGCAAACAAAATGTGTTCTCAGGAGAGACTCACTAGAATCAATCAGGCAGATTATCGTATCTGATAAGGAATTTGTTACACAAAGATAAATAAATAACACATCGACTTTGAATTTATGTCTTTTTATGTAAGGTACAATGTACATATTCAATTATTTCATACTAAATGATTCTTTAATTGAATATGCAAAAACGTTACCTGAAGATAGCGTTTCTTTGATAACATTGAAAATGACTTCATAACTGAAATCCAGATCAACAGGACTAACATCGGAAACGTTTCTATATTTCTATTATATTTTCAAAGGAAATTAAAAATATACTGGGAATTTAAAAAATAATTGATATGGACTTCGTCCTCCCCTACAAAACACATGAATCATATTAAAGACAATGATTTTGAGATCTATATAATGTCACTTTTACAATATTAAAATACAATTCAACTTTAAAAATACAATTTTTGTGTCTTCTTTGCAAGTTCCTGGTATAAAAGTATGGCAGATCTATGCAATAAACTTTCATAAGGTAAATAACTCTATCTTAAAAATTACATCTGCCAACATGACCAAGAAAATCGTTTATCTCTGAAGTTTAATATTGTACTGTATGTAAAAGTGACAAATATCTCAACAATCATCAATATACAATGTAAGCTGCAATAAAACTAAAAATTTCATGTAATATCAATCAGTTTTCAGGTACATGTAATATCAATCAGTTTTCAGGTTAGGCACGTAATGTCTGCATACGATTACGTTGAAAGGTAACAATAACAAATCAAAGCGCGAAAGTGCTGTAATGGCAGTTTATTACAGGTTGTGTGTATTTTTAGTCCAGTTATATCATTATCTTGCATAGTACATTGTACTTATCAGAGGTGGCTTTCAGTATTTAAGATATAGAGTCAGTGGCGGATCCAGAACTTTTCATAAGGGGGGGGGGGCCGCTGACTGACCTAAGGGGGGGCCCGCTGACTGACCTAAAGGGGGGCCCGTTCCAGTCATGCTTCAGTGATTCCTTTATATAATCAACCAAATTTTTCCCACAAAAGGGGGGACCAGGCCCCCCCCCCCCCCCCCCCCCCCTGGATCCGCCTATGAGAGTTCTCTAATGATATTGAACAAGTTTTATGAATGTCATATTCTGAGCACTATATGAAGGCGATTGTTCTCACTTGTTTATGAACTAGTGCATTATGTCCAGTTTGTACCTTTTTTATCTATGTTTATAGTCAAATACTGTTTAAAATAGTTTGGCATTTTCTTTTTATTAATAAGTAAATGTTATCAACTGTATTTTATTCAACTTTGCTTTGCAAATGTGGTTTGTTACTGGTAAGTACAATGTATGGATGATAGTTGTTTCATTGGCAATCATAACACATCACCTTATTTATATAATGATCTATATTCAACGACCTCAGGTACAAAAAAAATGTATGTAACTAAACTATGATGGGAAACCTTTGACCTCTTTCTTTTATATAAACTTTTGATTTGGTACCATAGAACTATGTAGAATAAATGTACATTACAACATGTCAACTCTTTCAATGACAATACTTTTTTTAGAAACTATAACTCCAAGCAAAATTATATTTCCAAGTATAAAGTAATTTATGAATGAAACAAGAGTGCACACGCTGAAATGTCTCGTCTTCTTTACTAATCATTGATATTATGTTGATAGTCCTAAATATAAAGCTTTATTACAACTGTCACATAAACTTAACATTAACCAAGTAAACTAAACATTGACCAATGAACCAAGAAAATGAGGTCAAGGTCAGATGAACCATGCTAGGCAGGCATGTACAGCTAACAATTCTTCCATACAACAAATATAGTTGACCTATTGCTTATAGTTTAAGAAAAACAGACCAAAACACAAAAACTTAAAACTGAGCAATGAACCTTGAAAATGAGGTCAAGGTAAAAAAAAACCTGCGTGACTGACAAATAGATCATAAAATATTTCCATACACCAAATATAGTATTAGAAAAAAAGACCAAAACTCAAAAACTTAACTTTGACCACTGAACCATGAAAATGAGGTCAAGGTCAGATGACACCTGCTAGCTAGACATGTACACCTAACAATCATTCCATACACCAAATATAGTAGACCTATTGCATACAGTATAAGAAAAACAGACCAAAACACAAAACTTAACTATAACCACTGAACCATGAAAATGAGGTCAAGGTCAGATGACACCTGCCAGTTGGACATGTACACCTTACAGTCCTTTCATACACCGAATATACTAGACCTATTGCTTATAGTATCTGAGATATGGACTTGACCACCAAAACTTAACCTTGTTCACTGATCCATGAAATGAGGTCGAGGTCAAGTGAAAACTGCCAGTTGGACAGTCCTTCCATACACCGAATATACTAGACCTATTGCTTATAGTATCTGAGATATGGACTTGACCACCAAAACTTAAACTTGTTCACTGATCCATGAAATGAGGTCGAGGTCAAGTGAAAACTGTCTGAAGGGCATGAGGACCTTGCAAGGTACGCACATACTAAATATAGTTATCCTATTACTTATAATAAGAGAGAATTTAACATTACAAAAAATCTTAACTTTTTTTTCTAGTAGTCACTGAACCATTAAAATGAGGTCAAGGACATTGGACATGTGACTGACGGAAACTTCGTAACATGAGGCATCCATATACAAAGTATGAAGCATCCAGTCCTTCCACCTTCTAAAATATAAAGCTTTTAAGAAGTTGGCTAACGCCGCCACCGGATCACTATCCCTATGTCGAGCTTTCTGCGACAAAAGTCGCAGGCTCAACAAAAAGGAGTTCTTAATTAAGAAATAAACTGATTCGCTGAGCGCAGCTGGATACACCCGCAGAGGTCCAACCCTGAACAGTTGGGGCAAAAATGGACACAACATTCAAGCTTGATACAGGTCTGAATTTGGATTGTAATTTAATATTTGACATATTATAGTTTCTGAATAAATGTAGTCAAAGAACTTGAAATCGGTTATATGAATTGAATTTATATTCAATCTAAGATTTCTTGCTGTTGTGCAATACACTGTGCTGTTGCGCAATACTTAATAAATCTGTTGCCAGACTATAAACAAATAAAGTTCAATTTCTTCTCAATGTCATATTTGAAATTTATGAAAATCAATAGGGAGATTACATCAATAGCTATAAATAATTCACCAAAGTTTCATGCGAACTGCTTAAAGCATTTTTGAGTTGTTGTCCAAAAACTGGAAAATCACCCCTTTTTTAATGAATAAAACCCCATAACTCAGAAATGTAAAATCTAAAATTTATAATATTCTAAAGGGAGCTTAAGGATTGATAATTTAGTCTTAGATGCAAGATTTTTTTATCAGTTGTTAGTGGATTTGAACTAGCTGTCAGTAAATGCGAGTACTCTCAGATCTGTACTTGGTGTCTTTTTGTTGTTTGGATGTACAACTACCCGGCCACGTCCACTTGTATT